ATGCGCACAGTATTGGCTCCGTTAGGGCCGAGTTCCACTACGAGGAAGCATCTAGAAAACTTGGGAGCGAGTTTCCGACCGCGTGCACATTTATATACTTGCACTAGGTCCCCTAACTTATATTGGTGTTGTGGGCCTGCATTCCCATTTCGGGCCTCGTAACTATGGACCTGCCTTCCGTGGGCTAGTTCGGTCATTTTTTGCCTTTTTCGGGCAAGCCTCGGGATAGCCTTTTCCATTAAATCCGCATACCGTTTAGCCCTGGCCTTGAGGGCCGATCGCGTGTCCCTTCCCCCTGTTTCGACAATTTTCGAGGTACTCCGATTGTCGACGCATGAGATACTGTTGGTTCGAAGGTGAAAGGGGGTGAATCCAGTGGACTCATGAGGAGTCGCTCGATGGATCCCGATGATTTGATACACTATCTCCGGCCAAGAACGCATGTCATTTGCCGCTAAGTTCTTGAGAAGAGCGGTCTTAATCATGAGGTTCGCTGTTTCTGCCAGCCCATTGGACTGAGAGATATGGGGAGCAGTGTGTCGGAGAATAATGCCACATCGCATCAGCAATTCCTCTACCTCGGCTTTGAATTCAGACCCATTGTCGGTTAGGATCTCTTCTATATCTAGATGGGTATTGAGGAATCGGTCAATGTACGTAGCTATTTCTGAGGCCTTATGTGTTTTACAGAGGTAGACTTTGATATATTTCGATAAGTGGTCGATTAGCACCAAGAGAATGGAATACTCACAACGATTGGGTCCAGGTGGCACGTCAATATATGTCATGTCCATACTGACTCGCTGGAAAAGACGCTCTACTTCCGTAGAACTATGGTATTTGGTCCACGGATGGGTGCACGATCGGCAGAACAGACTAGACAGTTAGCAACTACGTATCTAACATCATCACGAATGTTAGACCAAAACCATCGATTATGATCGATGGTCGCTTCAATGACATTTATCGCAAAGTGAGTTGCCTGTTCCTCGTTGCGTCGGCCATCGCAGAATGTGCGGGTATCTGAATGTGTGCCGATGCGACGTGGACGGCAACGATCTCGGAGTGGATTCCACGTTCCTGTTGGAGGTGTCGACGACAATCCGGCGGGCCGCCATAGCAGAGCTCGCACGCCACCCCTCTGTCGAAGTTGTGTGAGACTGTTGCCTTCCCCGTCCATGCAGAGAGAGTGGAACGACGGTGCCGGCGGCTGACACAGAGGGTGGTGAAAGCACATTGCGCGACGTCATCATGGTCGGAGAGTTGCAGCGTGGTGGCAACGCCTTGACGACTTCGGAGAGAAATGCGGTGGTTACAGCTGTTTCGGCGGTCGCCATGCGATATCGCATCGAGAGAACGACATCGCGCCTCAAGATGAGATTGTCGATTTAAAGGCAGCGTCAGCTCCTGCAACAAGTGATGGAGGCGCCTGACTGTGTGTCCATGTCCGAATCCTTTGTCCAGTTTTGTTGTGCCATCGCATCCGGTGTGATCCCGCGGGCGACTCCGAGGTGGTGGATGAGGAGAAGGACGAGAGGCACATGGGAGGATCTCCAGAAGATGCACGACATGGCAGACGACTACTATAAGGAGAAGTTGAGGATGTCATCTAGGGTGTTCCGGCAGATCGTGGAGGCGTTGTCCCCTCTTCTGCAGCGGAGGGTGACATTCTAAAGGGTACCGTTGATGCCGGATCCATCATCGCATATGCGCTGTATCGATGGGCGAGCGGGGAGACGTACAAGAGCAACACATCGTCATTCGACATAGGACGCGCATCAGGCTTGATCGCAGTCGAGGACGTCACCAGAGCGCTTCTGAGGATGTACCGTGACAACATCGTCTGGCCTTCCGGGTTGCGGCGGGTGCTCGTTCTGCATGCCTTCAAGGCCAAGGGTTTCCCCAACTGCTATGGATGCATAGACTGCACACACATATACGTGGACAAACCTGCGAACGCACCATCGGAGAACTACTTCGATCGGAAGCATCGTTTCTCTGTTGTTGCGCAGGTGGTGGTGGACTTGGACTTGCGCATCACGGATGTTTTCCTCGGTTATCCAGGGAGCTGCCATGACATTGGCGTGCTTCAACTTTCCAGTCTGTGGGCGTGCGCGGAGGAGGGGGATCTTTTCCGTGGACCTGCCATCGTGCTGCCGTTCGGATTGAAGACACACGGGTACATTCTCGGCGATAACGGGTATCCTCCTCTGGAGTGGATCGTCGTGCCTTACGGGGGGACCGATCAATGCGCCGACGAAGAGAGGTTTGACAACAAGCAGAAGGTCGCCAGAGGAACAATGGAGAGAGCTTTCGGGAGATTGAAGGGGATGTGGAGGTTGTTCCTCTGCACACACAAGACGAATATGGACAATCTCCCACAACAGTTCCAAGCCGTGTGCATTTTGCACAACATCCTCCTCGATGCTGGCGTGGAATTCGACGAGAACTTGTTGTGGGAGGTGAACGTTAATGGCGAGTGCCGATGCATGGATTTGGGGTTGGATCACCCACCCCACCCCATCGCAAAGAACTTTAATCAGCCCCGTGCGCCGGCGTTGTTGGCGGAGCACATGAAGCACGAGTGAACGCACAAACTTCCTCGACAGCGGTAACTACTGCATCGATCTCTATGGGGGGGGGGGGGGGGGGGGGGGGGGGGGGGGGCAGGGGGGCCTTGTGATGTTCGGGAGACGGCGGCTGTTGTTGTGTTCCGGTGGGAGTGCGGTGCGCTTAGAACAGTTCTGCAGGGTCACTGCAGTTGTTTTGATTTATTTACTTTATAGTTTTGTTCGTTGAGACGTTTTTTTTATTTTTCTTTTACTATCGTTTACTTGGGGTGACTTTAAATAATGTTGTGAACCTTTGAAGAGCGACGGAGTGCCGCTCCATGACGATGTTTTTGCAGACGGCGATGTCGTCTTTGTTGTGCCAGTTTTTGCATATTTGTGTCCTTGAATGCGCTTTCGTGTCATCTATGCGTTTTTTTGTTGCGTTAATCGATCGATGCGTTTTTTTTGTGTCATTCAGTTCATGCAACAACAACAAAAGAAGCACCTTCTTGTCTATCCATGCGCATTTCCTGTGCCATTCAATTCAACTACGGATAAATCGAACAATGAATCAATCGATCAATCGATGAAGCGATTAGCCGACCAACCGATAAAGCATTAAATGGATCAGTCGATCGATCGACTAACTGACCAAACGATAAAACAATCAACCAATCATTCAACGAACCAACCAATCAATCAATCAATCAATCAATCAATCAATCAATCAATCAATCTATCAATCAATCAATCAATCAATCAATCAATCAATCAATCAATCAATCAATCAATCGATAAATCAATCAATCAATCATTCGATGCGAAAATAAGATTTCCAGAGATGCGGAACGAAAATCCTTCAAAATTTACCATTCGACACATGCCCTGGCTCCATGAAAGAAATTGAAAAAACGCATCCCCTCTTGTTGTGTCATACCTGAAAAGGTGCCATTAATCACATGACCTTCACTTAGCAGTGCATGCACTGCACAAATCCGCAAAAAAACGAAAACTAAAACAACCACATCTGGGGTCGGCTGCCACGAATATGCGCGTCGGCGGGCGACGTGGCACACTACATGCCTAGGGCGAAACAAAACGGCCACATCAACGTCAAAGCGCCCCTCGATCGCCGACACGCATGTACACATCCCTCCCCCCCCCCCCCCCCCCCAACCCCCCATCCCGCCTGGACCCTAGCCACCCCTACCTTTGCCTGCCAGCTTGACCCCCATGCCAATCCTGCGTTGACACCCCTTCCCCCCTGCCCCCGCACCCTCCATACACAAACGAAAACGATGGGTGTGCCGCCGAAGACCACGAACCATTCCACTCCACGGGCGAAGCATGTTTCCACGATGCACAAGACGGCCATATCCACCAAATTCACTTCCCTACGTCGTCGTCGGGACCGTCCTCCTTGAGATCGTCATCAAAAGGTCCCATCCCCATCCAGTCCAGATGCGCAGAAGATTTAACTGTTATTCAACCAAGTAAAATTGTAGAAGCCGCAGAAAGAATGATAATAGATTCTTAATAAATTGAATTTGAGTATTAGAAAAAAAAAATTTATTCTCTTATTTCGATTATCGTGGTAGTTGAAGCACACTCAACATGAAGCCCACTTCGGGATGTAGTTAGGAAACACACCCATCGTCAAGGGCGACTTCCCGAGGCGAGTCAATACGGCATTTGTTGACTGGAGAAAATGCCTACGCCAGTTGAAGGACTGCGAACCAGCCGCCACAGTCGTGGGCTTCGCCACGAGCTATGCGTAGTACGACACCTACTCGTAGGAGCGTGCATCGTCGCCCCCCATGCGCATGACGTACATGCACGAGGCGAGAAGCAAGCGGAAAGCGTCTGCGACTCTGCTAAGTCTTGACTGGGACATTTTCCGGCCATTGGACCACTGCCCGGCTCGGAGCGCATCATGAAAGCAGGACGCCAAACGCATCATCGTGGACTCCTGATGGGCTGCCATGTCGTCGTCTTCGGGCCTGACCTCGATATATGCCCCCGCATACCACAATGGAATGCCCATCTTCAGAGCGAGCATGTGGTAGACAACACTAGGCGACACTACCCTCGACCACTCCGCGCTCTACCAAACTGCTTTCGCGAGATCGGTGGGGTAATCGACAACAACATACGACTCGGCGCCGGCGAAACCATTGGACCTTGAAGAGGACCTGAATATCCACCCGTGGATGACGCGCGTAGCGACGTTTTCCATATGTCTCGCCCGTTGGAGAGCTGCCTCTCGCTGCGCAGGATCTTCGATTCGCATGCGCGGAACATCGGGGTCTGGCATGATGATGCCATGTGGGGCGGTGGCGCCTGCATTACCATTCATGATTGCACAATAATAGTCCTCGCAGTCATGCACAACGTCCGCAATCATGCAACCAAGTCCGCTTCCCCAGAACGTCTTCCCGTCTACCCAGAGCTTGGATTTTGCCTCCAACTCTTCCTCCTAACGCGTTCGTTTCTTCCTTAAGTTCTGAGAGTCGTCGTCCTCGCAGTCTGGCCGCAGAATCTCATCCCTCCTCTCCTCTTTCCTCCCCACCTCTTCGGCCCTCCGATCTTCTCGCCTTTCTCCCGCAGCAGTGGCGGTGGCATGGACACTGGGGCTTCCTGCTTGTGCGGAAGGTGCGACAACCCTCGACGACCCCCCGGCCATCAACGTGTTCGACGGATCCACATGGCACAAGGGGGACACAGAGACTTGTCCTTTAGCCGTGCGTTCGACAACGGAAACGATCGTTGACGTTGAACGGACAGGTCTTTGCGGTATCGTGTCGTTGGTGACAATCCCTTGAGAACGCACGGTTCCGCTCCTGTTGCCACGTGGAGTCCCTAGAAGACCAAGGTTGGCCAGTGCAATCATCCGCTCCCTGCTGACACCATCTCTCCCGAACCTGAGCGTTGGCGTGGCCGTAGAAGGTACATCCATGGGCGACACGTCCTGTCCCCCCTCACCCCCCATCTCGCCCTCCGATCCGTGAGCCCCGCGCAACATTTTGGACTTCGGGACGTGCCCCCTTCCGATTTGCCGGCCAGCGCCTTCGCCGGATTCGCTCTCTCGCATTTTGAATTGGTACTGTCCACGTGGCGCCATGCGCTACCGATCGATCTCCCACATCTCGCAAATGAAGGCGTTGTGAGTCTGCCGAGTGTCGCGGACGACGCCACGAACAGATAAAAAAGAGAGAGACGCGCAAGTGAAGACAGTGGTGGTGTTTGGCGGTCGCGAGGATGATCAACTGCCGGTGCACTGGAACACAACCCCGACCTTTATAGTGCTGGCGGTGACCTTTCCCTGCCATGGCGCGCTCCCAGAATGACAACATCGATTTCACCCGTCCAGGCCGGGAAAATTCCAACCTCGGGGAACTACCATATATACATATATATATATATATATATATATATATATATATATATATATATATATATATATATATATACATACGTGGCGAAGAAAAGTAACTACTCCCAGCAATGACACCCGACGCTCCCGTCAACCTGCACCAACTGTCAAACCGCGCATGCCGTACCTTCAACAGCGCCCTTCACGACTGCACATGCGGAGTCACCGCCATCACCACGGCACCCACGGAGAACAAGCGAGGGATGTAGCGTTGGGACATGCATTCACAGGTGCAGGACTTCAGGCGGCGTCACAACATCTCCCTTATTGCTTTAGCGATCTCCAACAATGCAGTGCACATCATCCTGTTCGCCTCGTCGGACGCCTCGTAGTGCCGCTTCTGGGCGTCGACCTCGCACTCCAGTATGTCGCACTGCCGCTCCAGGATGCTACACTGTCGCTCTCTTGCCCTCTCCATCAATGCACCGTGCCTCTCCATCACTTCGGTGGTGGCGTCAAAAGTTTGTTGACGCATGTTCCTTCTCTTGTCAGCGCCGCCCATGCTGTCTGCACTGAACTCGGACTCCCGCGCCGACCCTCCATCTTCGTCGTTGCCATCACCCACATCTCCCCTGGCACAGGATTCGCCTGCAACGGATGGATGATGTTGAGTATCCCCCGACATCTGCACTCCTCCCCGGGCGCTCGCGTCGGTGAGGTTATCTGGGTAGATGGTCTTATTGCCTTGAGACATGTTGTCGATCTCAAGGTACAATCGCTGATCCATTCGGAAGCTGAATCCCTCTTCTGAAGAAGTTCTTCCCCCCGGACGCGTTTTGGTATCGTTGCACCTTCTTATACTGCTGGAAGAGGTTATCCCACTTCTTGCCGATGTCTTCGGTCGTCCTCTTCACGCCCACCTCCACATGCCCACCTCCACACACCCACCTCCACCGGACGCTTCTGCAGGTCCTGAAGCTTCCATTCCCTGTTGCGCATGCGGCCGTAGTTGTGCGACATTCCTTCAAAATGAGCTTGCAGGTTCTGCTTCGCTCGAGCGAGCTTGATCATCTCCTCAACACTCCAAGCTGGATGTTTGCCGCCCTTCTCGCCCACAGGACCCTTCGATCCTCGACCGCCACGTGACGTGGCCTTTTGTTGACATCCGCATCCACCCCTCCGTCCACCACGCACACCAACGGGTCGAATCTCCAAGTCTTCCGCATCTTCTGGTTCCTCCTCGCAATGGGAATCTGAAGATTCTTCACCACTCGCCCTCCGACAGTCGTCCGCATCGGTATCGCTCCCCACACCCATCCGCGACACCCCGTTCGTTATGTTATCAGCGGTCGCTCGGCGCATCTGTTGGCGACAGGACGCCCACACCTGCCTCCCCATTTCTTTTGGTGGAGAAGTGCTGGTGTTCGCCGTCGATGAGGCCGCCTTCTGCCGCAGCGCAGGCGAAGGCATCGCGGAGTGGGTGGGTAACACTGCCCTCGGATCGTCAACTGGTCCCACTCCTCCACTAATGGAGGGCGCTTGACGATACCCATCTGCCGTGCCACCCACACGGGAGGATCTTCCACCTACCCCAGCCACTCCCACCCGACCCACAGACGTTGGCCGACGGTCGTGGCGCCCACGTGGTTCGATGCACAAGTGTTCGCACCCACTCCAGGTGTCCTACTTGACAAGACGAAATCCAAGTCCACAATCTCTGTATTGCCAATGTCGATACCCTCCTCCAGCATTGCCGAGTACGACTGACGACTAGTCCTTGCTTCCCTTCCCTGGTAGTGCCTCCCCATCCACTCGTGCGTAGACCCACTCCCCAGAGGAAGAGTGTGGGACAGATCGTCCACCCATTCCTCTTGCGGATCCGGCGGTAGCGGTTGCTGGTGCGGCGGGACATGATTGTACAACGTGGGGTCATATGCGGGTGGGCGACGTTGTCCGCTCCAGCGGTCTACATGCCACGGTGTGTCGATGCGTATCAGCCAAGGGTTTGAAATTTGAAATTTCAAAAGGGATTTTCGCACTGATTTTTCTCTCAGCATTCCCGAAGGCCTCCCTGCCGCCGCCACCAGACCACGCCTGAGGACGGACGGACATCCCACCACGACGACGGGCATCCAGGACATCCCACCACGACGACGGGCATCCACCCCTGCGGCTGCGTATATCCGTATGAAATTCGCTGCAGGAGACCTCCAAGGGTTTTCCTTGGGACCCATTCGATTAGGACGCGGTGTAACGCCGCTGCTAAAAACTGTAAAATTTTCAAAGGAGTTCATCCTAATTCCTGAGGATTTTCCTAGGAGGGTCTAATAAGGCCCTTATCTTGGCAGCCTTAGCCAATTTCGCTTATGGGAAACGGTCCTCCACCAAACCAACTGTAGCAAATCTTCTTCAAACACATGCTGGAAACCGGGTCCAGCATCCCATCCTAAGACCACTTTCCAAAACTTATCCTTGAAGCACAGAGCAAAAAAAGGAGAGCTAACCACCAGCGGCAAGCTCAATTGTCTCATCACTTGTCAGTTATCAGCAGGGAATCCGATTAGGCAAATCTAAGCCTGGAACCACTTTAGTATCAACAAAAACCATATATTCCAACCATAGTAGTCCCTATGTTTAATCTTAAAGCTCATCAGGTAGGGACCTGTTTCCCAACTGCTGGAAACCAGATCCAGCGTCCCATTCTAGTAGTAAGTTTTCCAAAAGGTATTCCATTGACGTTCAATATAAAAGATGAGCTAACTAATAAAGACAAGCTCATGATCTCACACTACTTCTATAGTGAACTGAGTACCTGGTATTTATTAAAACGAGGCCAAAGACATAGAAAGAGCAACTATGAATTGTTATCCGGACAAATTCGTCCTGTCATACCTAAAACCGGTCCTACATGAGCTCAAACTGAAAGCAGTATCCAGAAAGTGAAAATGTGCCAGGTACTATGCATATGAAGATCGCACAGGCATGTTTCTAAGTTCAAGACGCTAGAGGCGATGCAATTGTTCTACATCATGGTTGTGATCAGCAACGACCAGTATCAGAAAATGACTGCCACGTCGTGAATCCGACCTATGGGATCTGCCAGGTCCAGGATCGCAATGGGAGAGTGTGACCCAAATGTGCTTCAACTACCGAGAGAATTGTAACTCCTACCATATTGAATACAAAACAACTAGGGTGAAGTGATCCAACCACCATGGAAAAGGGAGCAAAAAACGCCAGATCTTACTTGCGAAAACACGTGAGGTAATTCACAAGAATGAGTGAATCTACCCTAGAATCGTGCTTAGGTGCACTGTTACTCCAACCATATGGAAAGCGAGACACAACCAGGGCAAAACCAGTCCAACCGCGGTGGAGAGCGGAGCAATGAACCACAGGTCTCAGTTATGAAAACGATCCAAGCGTCGTGGGGAGGGGAGCCATGAACAACAGCTCCCGAATGACGGATCTCACTTACGAAAACGATCCAACCACAGTGCAGCGGGGACCGATGAACGACAGACCTAATGAAATCACGTGAGTAAAATTCACAAGAACTAACAACAAAAATATTTCCTAGAATTAAATAATCATTCTATAGTAAAATTACATTCTAAATTTTAAATTTTCATTCCATCTTAAAAAATGTCATTCCAATTTTAAAATTTTCTGTCTTACTTGAAAACTTTCCTTCCAAGAATGGGGTATCCCTTCTTATTTGAACTACATGTTATAAATGGAATGAAAGTTTGGATGAGTTCATGAAATATTTTAATTGGACTGTCATTCTAAGTAAGGATTTTCAGTCGTAAATAGATTAATCCAATCTAAATTATAAAGATATTTGTTGTAGTCGAATGAAAATTTAACTAAAACATTTCATAAACTCGTTAGACTTTCATTCCATCTTGAACAAATAGATGGTCTTTGGAAGGGAAAACTCTTATTTGGACGGGAATTTATCAAATAAAACCGGAAATTTTAGAATTGGACAAACATTGGAATGATAATTTATAAATATGAAGGATTTTTTCTTTATGGAATGTTTTTTCAACTTTCATTTCTCGTGAAATTTTTCTGTTGAATGAATCTACCTTACAATAGTGTCTAGATGCATGGTAAGTTCTTAGACAATTAATCAAGGCGTGTCAAGATATACAAGAAATGATGAACAAAGCCAAGAAAGTGAAGCACACATCCACAGAAGTCGAAGTCCGAATTGATAGGCCGTGAGCTTAGCACCGAAATAGACGTCTGGAAGTCATGGAGAGATTGGATACGAACTAGCACCAAGCAGGCATACTTCCAACCACATCACTCGCACCACTGCCTGTAGCTCTCCCACAACTTTGAGAGTGCCGATGTCCATGTAGCCACAGCTTCTATGCACTCGTCCCCAGGTTAGGCTCCGACGTCCCTTCCATTTTTCTTTTCTTTTTCCTGCTCTTCGTCTTCATCAGTCAACGCAGGTGACGACCCCCACTGCTTGGACATCGAGAGCATTTGGCTTTTGTGAGTAGTCTTCAGAGCTTCGAAACTTGTAACCTCTGGATGGCAGATCCGACTACCACACTTTCAACGAGGAACAACACACCCCAAAGGAACCCCAAGGAGACCAGACTGGAAACTCTCTGCCCCCTGATATTCCACGCGGGAGATGGCGGACGTCTTGAAATTGACAAACACGGTGAACACGAAAGGCCTCCCACGCTTCAAACCCTAGGAAGCCAGAAACCCGAGCGATAGCGCCGACGTCCCCGGATAACGCTCCCTG